GCTCTGCCCGCAGGTGCTGTCCCGCCTGGGCGTGCGGCCCGGCTGGCGCTTCGTGGACGTGCTGGGCTTCGAGGAGGAGGCGCTGGGCGCCGTGCCCGCGCCCGCCCGCGCGCTGCTCCTGCTCTTCCCGCTCACGGCGCAGGTAGGGCTGCCCCCGCCGCGCGTGGGAGCCCCCGGGCGCGCGTGGGGCGCCCCTCCGGCGCCAGCATCCCCGCGGGGCAGCGGCTGCCCTCACCCATGGGCTGGGATTTGCCGGAAAATATACACGCAACACGTAGAGCAGAAAGGGCTGTAGCATCCTAATAGCGATGGGTTTTTCTTGCTGCCCTCGTGGGGAGGAAGGTGCTCATGGCTGCAGCTATAGGCGTGAGTGCAAACTGCTGGATATCAGCCACTGAAAGGACCAGAGCATCCTGGAGAGAGCAAGGGAAAGAGCCCATATAGTGTATACCCCCCCACCCCAACGCACCTTCCAGCATGCGGACCAGAGGGAGGGGCTGAAGGACTAAATGCAGTGCTGTTGAATATGACTGAGTCATGCAAGCAGTCCATTAAGATCTGGCGTGTATCCAGTAGAGATGCATGGTGATTTACAGACCTGTGCCGCAAAGATGGTTTTCTGGGTAATATTTCTGTCCAATCTTGCTCTTGGTCTCCGACATCATTGATTTGTCTATTAGCTTGCTCAATAAAAATGCATCACTGTGGCTAAATGCTCAAAATAATTGCGTGTTTGCAGCATGAGAACTTCAGGAAACAACAGACTGAGGAAATAAAGGACCAAGAAATCAGTTCCAAGGTGTATTTTCTGAAGCAGACTGTTAGTAACTCCTGTGGGACAATTGGTCTGATACATGCGGTTGCTAATAACAAAGACCAAGTGAAGCTTGGTGAGTATGTATGTTCTGATATGCCTATACTTCCTTTTTTTCTTTGTTTACAAGGGAGGAAAAAAAATAACCCGAGTAGGTAGGGCTGTATAAGATGCTCTCTGAGGCTTTTGTGCTTTGTCAAGGCCAGGTAAAGCATGCTATGATATTACTGGGAAGTGGGGTTTTCACCCAGTAAGAAATGAGAAATGTGGTCTCACTTGCTGCCTGAATTGCAGGAGTGAATCCGCTTTGCCWGGTAGCCACAATCCTCTCTCCTTGCAGTGAGCACAGCTGCAGCAACAGGTTTGCAAAGGGGAAGGGCCAGGAGTAGACCCAAGTCTGCAACAATTTAGGGAGTAGCCTGTTCAGAGCTGGTTAGTGGCATTGCTGATGTTCTCCGAATGGATGAGTACAATTCTTCATGCCATTTACATGTTGAGGTAGCTGTAGGTTTGATRGATTGGCCTTCCCATGTGAGTAGCATAGGATGATATTGTTCTCTAAGACTGTTTCCTGGGGGAACAGTTTTGATGGCGCTTATGCTATGGAAGAGGGTATAAAACTGGCCTAGGTAACTCATGGCTAGAAGCTCCTGCTTCCTAGGAGATAGGATTACTAGTTCTTGTCAGGAAAGATTTGTCACCAAGTTAAGGAAATAATTTATTGTTGTGCAGGATATCTTGTCTCAAACTAGAGATCTGCACAATGTAATTTTTCATTGTAAGAGGGAAAACTGAACCCTTTAAGTGGTTTTGGATTCTTTCCTGCAAAAGAGAATGTGTATGGTGGGTAGTGAGTTTGTAACGGAATTTTCATTTACCGTTTTGGTTCATTACTGGGATCTATCTTGGAATTTCTTTGYAAGATGTGACTCAGCTCTCCTGCCAAATGTCTAGGACGGCATAGCAAAAGCCACATCTTAAAGCCAACCCCAGGACAGGTGCTCCCAGCATCCTGAGGCACTGGAACTCTTGCCGTTTGTGTGATTTGTCATCAGAAGCTTCCAGATAAATAATTTATTTCCACTGCCATTTGGAAATGTGTGTATGCTAAAGATGGTTCCAGGCTAAGCCAGTGACTTCTAATTCGTATAATAAGCATTGGGTGTTGTGGGCTGCACCTGGGTTGTACCCAATTCTGTATCTATGCTGAATCAAGTCTTCGRTTGTCTTGTGCAGATGAGGGGTCTGCCCTGAAGAAGTTTCTTGATGAAACAGCTGACTTGTCTCCTGAAGAGAGAGCGAAGCGTTTTGCAAGTAATAAGGTATATGAACTATACAAATTGTTTATAGCTGTCAGCACTTAAGAGTATAGTAACCTGTATCTGCTTTCTCTTAAGGCTATACAAGAAGTCCACAATTCTGTTGCACAAGAAGGACAGTGTCGGGTAAGAGTTGAATGAGAAAAATCTGGGATGGATATTGAAGGTGATAGAGCAATGAAGTTATAGGTTGGGCAAATCACTGTTACAGCTCACAGGGAGGGAGGAATGTTTGACTAATGGATGAATATTTGTGCAGCTCCTTCTCAAAAATGCATGGAAAAATGGGTCAAGACTCTTCCCGAATACATGCTGCAAACATGACTATGGTAGGGTAATCAAGCCTGACAAAGAGTTTCAGACTGAGATATGAATAATTGATACCGCAGAGCTTCAGCTAAGCGATGTTGCTAGTCCTCTCCTGCTGATGAACAGCTCTGTAACTGAACAGTACTCTTCTGTTGGTGGTTCTATCTTGGGAGGACTTTAAAGTGTTATAGCATGTGTAATCACAAACAAGGTTCAGACTGTATAGTAGACTTTTTTTTAACATAAATAATGTATCTAATGGTCTATTCTAAGGTTGATGACAACAGTGTGAACTTCCACTTCATCCTGTTTGTCAATGTGGATGGACACCTGTATGAACTGGGTAAGGCACTGAGAGTCCAATTAAGAGTTTGGCTGGGCTTATTTTACCTGGTCAAAGCCTTGAGGATAAAGGCTTACTGCTAGTTGAAATGCTTGCTGAGGCTTTCAGCCAATTCAGAATACAAAATGAAGAACTTTCAGCTGAAGGTCTTATGATAAAGTGGGTTGCACTGTAGGCCCAGACCCCTTTGTAAAGCATATGATCTCTGGTAGAGCTGAGACTTAGTCCCTCTCTTCCCCAAACTATGCACTGATACTGTATTTTGAACTTGTCCAACTATCTTCACATGGGTATTTGATTCTTGGAGTCACTCTGCTGAGTTCTCCTGCCTTGAAGGTAACGGTAAGAACACTGACTGATACAAGACTTCCTTCCACAGATGGGCGTATGCCRTTCCCTGTGAACCATGGCACAAGTTCAGATGACTTACTATTGAAGGTAGGACTTCTTGCTAGCTGCAGGTTTCCCAGGCAGCCAGGCTGCTGCCATGACGAGAGGCCTGGTTCARGGTGCAGCTTTCTGTGCCTGCTTGCTCTAACACTTAGTGCTTCTCAAGCTCTGGTAATGAGGTAGTGCTGTGCCACAAAACGAGATGCCTCATAAACGTATATACTTGCTGACACTACTACATGCTAATTTAGTTGCTGTGATCCAAAGTAGAGCTACAAAGTCACTAAGTGTCTAGACAATCATCAATGTTCCCCAAACCTAAACAGTCCTTTCTTCTCCGAAGGATTCTGCTAAGATATGCAGACAGTTTACAGAACGTGAAAAAGGAGAAGTTCGTTTTTCTGCTGTGGCTTTCTGCAAGTCTGCCTGAGAAGCTGAAGAGGCTCAAGGAAAGCAGTCTAATAGCACACCAGTAAATGCAGTCTAATCTTCAGTGCTTCAGTACTTGTTAAACACAGCTGTTAAAGTAATTTGAATTGTTTCCACCATTTGCTATACACAGAAGCAGCATCAGTTGAGCTTGTGCTAAAGGATGAGCTCAAGTTTTAATGTGAACAGTTCAGACACGTCAGATGTCTTTAGACTTCTGATTTTGTTTTTTTCACGTGTTAAGTAGAAAATGCTTAACAGGGCTTGTTAAATCTGTGTCTGTTAATTGAGCTGTTGGTTGGTATTTCCTTGTCCTTAATGAGAATAAACTTTCTGCTGGAAAACAAAATGGTCTGAAGTGATAAATGTAACGGAGAAAGTTACCTGTGGACATCTTATGCATCTTCAGAGGTGTCTGAAGGTGCTGTAGTCAAGTTCTGATCTGAGCAGAAGGTTGTCTACYTGAGGTTGGCAAGTCAGCTGCAACTTGCTTGACCTCCTGCCTTYTCTCACAGAAAACCTGCCCTAGTGGCCTCTGCTACTTGTAGCTTAAACCTCTGCTAATTCATAATGACCCAACTCTCAATAAACCTGGGCCTAGGCTAGATGTGTTTATTAACATGAAATTGCATTYGCATGTCTTTTATAAGAGGCTGTATTAGACTTTCCTTGAAGAACGACTTAAAGAAAAGCCCCTAACACTAAATGAACTTTGAATTGCAGGGGAAAAAAGCGATCTCGGATTACAGGGAATGAAAAAACCTAAAGTGAGGAGGCGGAGGAAGAGGAGGGATTAAAGTATTAAAGAAATGGTTACCTTTAACCCTGTTCTCGAGTAGAAATTGTTCTTGTCCCARTCTAGCTTTGTATCTGCTCTGAGTGTCTCTTAAGAGGGGACAGCTCTGGGCTTTTCTTGTTCAATGCCCTGTATTCCTGTCCCTAACTATGACTCTGGCGCCTCTCTTTGCACTGCCTGATCTTTGCAGCTCTGTATGTTCTCCTATGGTTGTCTCTGTCTTGTTATTACTCATGGTTACTGTTRGCTGAAATGCCTCAGCGTAAGGAACAACAAAATGTCCAAGTCGTTCAGCTCCTCTTAGCAGGAGGGTGAACGCTCGCTGTGATGCAGCGTTTGGTTGCTTCCCACAGCAGCACTTTCTCCTGTCTGCTGGTAGATGGTGCTGTGAACTGGGAGGAAGGCCGCACTGGCCTCTGCTRCAGCCTCCCACCCAGCGCAGGCCCTGCCGGCATCTACAGGAGGGGACACAACATGGTACGTGTGTGTGGGATGTGCCATAGGAGAGGGCAGGAAAAGCAGCAGAGCTTGGCYGGCTGTATTGTCTACATGAGCAAACGTGTTGTTATTCTGCAGAGGACCTTCTTGTCTTGAAGGCCACTGTTCTGTGTAACTGGGCCCGCATAGGGTTAGGTACGTGGCAGTGTAGCTACCAAAAAGTACATTTGAGATCCTACTATATTTTTGTAGTGATGTCAGCAGTAAGGTTATTTTCATCCAGCAGTATCATTTTTTCAGTGTTAGCAAAGTTACACTAATATTTCAGATGCTTTCATTCTTTTRCTCAGACTTAGGGATTTTGTATCTACGCCGAGGCAGGGGTTTGAATAAAGGTAGAATTTTGGCTTTGTGAAAAGTAGGAAAAGGGTTGTGAAGAATGCTTCCTATTTTCTCACCTTGTGCATCCCAATACAGTTTCTGAAGAGGGAACAATAAAGGGAACAAGTAAGGAGAACGGGTGTTAGCCATCTGCATCGTTAGTAAGGTTTCTTCCTTACCACAATTGCAGCACGACCTGGAAACCAGCAGGTCTTTCCTCTAAAACAGCTGGAGTTGTTGGGGATGGGGAAGACTTCAACAGTTGGGATTGAGTTGCCTGGGGTGAAGGCAGATGGAAACAGATGGAAACTTGTGCAATATTTATAGTTCCAGCTGTTGCTACTGCATTCAGAAGYACAGACAGAATTCACAGAAGTGTGTGCTAAGCCCACACCATAGAGAGTAAACCATAAATAGGAAAGAAAGGTGCTTTCAAATCATATCAAATACACATAATCTCTAAATAAATACATTCTTTTCAACATGCTTTCAGGCTATTTTTACCTATTTGCTAATTATTCTTGAATGTTAATCTTTGTCCATTGTGTTTGGTGTTTTAGCAATAGTGTTTGGACAGCAAGGTGTAAATGTGGGCTTTTTTAGGGGTTGTTACAGATACCCTGTTTTCATGAGAATGTGCTCTTTAATAATTTAGTATTTTCTATTAACCACACCCCACCTGAGACAAAGCTAGTTTTTATTTCTTGCTTTTGACCATTATATCTTAAATCTGTAATTCCATATGGAGTTGCTATCTTTCCTCAACTTTCTGTTAATCCTCCTTCATTAAACTTATGGACACATGTCCCATCTAAAGCCACAAATGTTTTACCCCTGAATTTGCATAGTGACAATTATTCTAGAGAAGAGCATGCAGTTTGCAAGGCTAGAACTGTATTTTCTGTCCATTCTGTAAGAAATCTATGGCTGACTGTTGCTATTCTTCCAGCCACATGAGGAATTTACTGAGAAATTATGTATTTGAATTAATAGGTTCCTGCAACATTCATGCAACTTTCCAGAGGTGGTATTTAGTTCATTTCAGAAATAGACCTTGGGAAAATGCACAGAAAATTGCTAAAAAGTAGCTGTACAGTTAAGGGTAGTATATAAATAAAAACACTATTTATAAATGACATAAAATAATAGAAATATTCTAATAGAATAATAGTTTCAAGAACTAGCCTTGAAAACATTTAAGAAATATTTAAGTTTAAGAACTATTTAAGCAGGCGCAATTTCTGTTTAGACCTGCACGTTGCCAGTTCAGAACAGTACCCTCTATCTGCAGKTTTCCTTTTTGCTGCTATTTCGAAAGCTGTAGTTAGCCTGCTCTGTAGATGGCAGCATTGGGAAACTTTCAGTAAAAAGTCTTAATTAGGTGTCACACATGGCAAAACAGGCCCAGCAGTACATTTAATTGACCATACACCTAACCTTAAGCCTCTATCTTGTCCTTGCGTTCACTGGGACTGCTCACATGGTTAAGTAACCGTTTGATTTCAGACCTGAACATCTAATCCTTAATTCGGGCAAAAATTAATTTAAGCCTGATGTAAAAGCCAAAGCCTCCTCTGCATGTCCATGGCCTTTRCAGAAGTTTGTAGTCCATTTGCAGCTGTTAAAGCATCACATCAGCTCACAGTCTGGCACTGTGCAATTCATGCACTGCTATTTCTGTGTTAGTGACTCCCTTCTCTTGAGATTGAGGAAGAATCAATGTGGGAAAGATTCAATGTGGGAAAGAAACAATGTGGGAATAATTCCTGTAGCATCTGGCTTTTGATGCACAGACTGGCTCRCTGATACATAAGCATTCAAGATGGAGAAGAAATAACCTGAAAAGGGGAAATAGAAGTACTAATGTCCTTTGTCTTTGATGCAAAGGCATCCTGGGCTTCTCAGGGCCAATCCCACTAACTGGTGTGCTAGGAGAAGGAGTGAGAAAGCAAGAGAATGGAAGTAGATGCAGTATTCACACATCCCACATTCACTGGTGCTGTAGGCAGCCAAGAAGAGGTCAATGACAGGACTGCAGTTACTGAGTCTGTGGATTGGATGGGAACAAATGAGAACTTGGAAAAATGCAGTCAGACGTGATCCCTGTGAGCTGAGAAATACCATTAAAATAGTGACTGAAGGAATTAAAATATCACTTGTATTTTGTCGTGTTTTAATTCTTGCACGTGCTGATACTGCATTGTGAGGAGAGGCTGATGCACCACGTGTTCCAAACCCCGGGGACCTCTATGTACTGAAGGCTGGACCTCAAGGAACCTTGAGGACCTTGAAGCCAAGCAAGGGGCCGCCCCTGCTGGGGCTACTTCTGCACCTGCATGGGCTGGAGGTGGGACACGAGGGCCAAGGTGCAGCCCTTGGGGTTATGGCAGGTGCCAAGCTGAGCATCAGCCAACATAYGTGTTCCCATCCCGAATAAACTCAAGAGCTTATGGAGCTGTGTTGGGAGGAGCGTGGCCAGCAGATGGAGGGAAATTATTATTCCTCCCTGTCTGGCACTGGTGAAGCTGCACCTGGAGCAGTGTGTCCAGCTCCAGGCTCCCCCATGCAGGAAGGACGTGGACAGAACATCTCCATATGTCCTCCAGGAGAGGAGCTGGCGAGGGTCCGGCAGACGGATTACTGGGCAGGCTGGAGATCTGGAGCGCATGACCCCCAGGAGACACGGAGAGAGCTGGGCTTGTGTAGTCTGGCAAACATGGGCTGGGGGAGGATCTCACTGCAGCCTACACCTACTGGAAGGGCAGCTGCAAAGACAGCAAAGTGACCTTTTCTTGCTAGTGGTGGGTGATATAATCAAAGGCAATAGGTACAAATTGCAGCTTAGAAAGTTCAGTATGTGACATTAAACTAGGGAGTACTTGTTCCCTAGGTAGTGACCTGGAACGAGTCACCAGGAGAAGGGAGGCATCACCATCCTTGGAAGTCTGCAAGGCCAAATAAACCCACAGCTGACCTGATGGAGCATGGACAGTACCCCACAGTGAGCAGAAGGTCAGGCAAGATGATTCCCATAGGTCCCCATGAAYGCACATATTTCTGTGATAAATCCCAGATGAACCCTAACTATTTTTGAATACTGCAGTTTATCACTTCTGCATGTTCAGGGGTGTGTGTGTSGGGGGGGGATCGATTTAGCCATCAAGATTTGTAAAACTGCCCTAGATTACTTGTTCTGTGAAAACTTTGGAGTGCTCTCAGCCCTCAGCCGGGGGAGGTGAGTGCTGTGCTGCAGGCAGAGGGACCCATCGGATGGCCCAGGAGGGASCCATCGGATGGTCCAGGATCTCGGTCGCACACACGAGGGAGCTCTTCGCTGCAGGAAGAGCTGGAGGCTCGAGGCTGGTGCTGCTACTGCTGCTTCTCCTCACAGGCAGGAGCGGAAGAACAAGCAGGGCTGGGAGGGTTGTCTCTTCACTGAGGCACTTCTAGTTGGAGGGGAAGAAGTGCTGGGAACTGTAGAAGGAAAAGGAAACTGTGCAGAAGACAGGTCTGAGAGAGCTCTTCCAAGTCAATGAATCAGAATCAGAAGCAAGGTGAGTCCTCCCTGAGCAGSAGAAGATGAGGGGGAAGGAAGTACAGGAAGAAGAGCAGAAAGTGTTGAGGAAAATGGGAAGGGAGAGAATTCCTGCTAATCTTTCAAGATTCATCTTTCCACCAGCATCAACTTTCATGA